AGGGAATTGGCTTAGGTAGCGTCTAAGGCTCCTTCGGACTCTAAATCTGTTATTACCTAAGTATTGATGGGGAAAGTTTTATCCATAATCTAGGCTATTGAGTAACATGTTTGGGAAGTGATACAGCAGGAGGATGACTAAGTAGTAAAGAAAGACTATCAGCCCAAGAGAGACTTGAGAGAGAAGAAAATGGGGTGAAGCACAGGAGACTAAGCCATGACCCTCTAGCTTTCTGTCTCTACAAACTCTTTCTTTTTTTTTTTTTGGTTAGGCAATGGGGTTAAGTGACTTGCCCAGGGTCACTACAAACTCTGTCTTGATGATGAGCTCCCATCTATTCAACTATCCAGTCCGTGAAGGCTTCCCAATATCCAAAGGCAATCCATATTTCATCTCTCTCCTGAGAACAAGTCCCACATTTCTAATCGCCTACTAGAGTTATCTGCCTAGTTGAATCATCCTCAATATTCATTACCTTTCTGCCAAACTTCACCCTTCATCTTAAATTCCTATTATTGTTGAGGCCACCATCATCCTGCCAGTCAACCAGCTACTTTGGAGTCTTCCTCAATTATTCACTTTAATTTGCCTCCGCATATTCAGTCAATCACCAAGTCTCAGTGATGCCAACTCTTCATCATCTCTCCTGTCATTCTCCTTTTCTCTACTCATGACAACAACCATCCTAATTCAGGCCCTTAAAATTTGGACTATTGAAATCACTTTTGATCTTTCTCCATCTATTCTCTTTCCTCACTAATCCTTCTTCCACACAACTAACAAATTACTATTCCTACAGGATGAGTCTAATCATTTCTCCCACTGGCTCTGGAAATCTGGATGAATTTCCATTGACTTTAGGATATATGCCAACCTATCTTTCTAGGTTGATTATGCATTACTATCATTCATACACTCTACAACCAAACAAATTTGTCTATTTGCTCATTCTGTGTAGATGATATTTTTTTCTCCTTCTCAAAGTCTATGTTCTGATCCCTGGAATGCTGACTCTTTCTCCACCTCTGCTCCTTGAAATTCCTAGCTCCCTACTCAGGGTCAACTCAAGTGTCCCTTCAAGAGGCCCTAATTTTTGAAGTCTTTACCATGCCCCAACAAATGACTTTATTTTGACTTCATATATAAAAATTCAGATTTGTATAAAGAGAAATCTCCAATGCTTAATGAAATCCTTTAATTATTTTGATTTTTTAAAAAAATAATTCAGAGGGTTTTTTTCTCTGTATTTGGGTTAGGGAAGAGGCAGGAAGGGAAGGATAAATTTAGAGATCTTAGTTACTGTAGAGGTCATATAATATAATCTTCTCATTTTTCAGATAAGAAAACTGAGGTTGGAGAAGCTATGTTGTAAGTGACAGAGCCAATACAGAACCTATATTCTCATATCAAGAGTATATATGTAAAACATTGTTCGACACTCTTCAAGTATTTTAGTAAATTTTTGGCAGCTTGATTTTGAAATAAGATATAAATTTAATGACAGCCAGAAGATAAATGTTTTCTCTCAGTTATATTTTATGTCTTTGTTCTTGTTGGGCTAGATTAACATGAGAGTACTCCTGGATTTCTCCCGAGGATGCCTATGTCTAAACCTCCAAAATGGAGATTAATAAGAGCTGAAAGAAGGTTCCATTAATATGATTAAAAGGTTGGATAATGGACCCTATGGGAGATGATTAAGAAACTAGAACAGTGTACCCTAGAAAAGAGAATTATTTGAGCAGGGCAAGTACAAAGGAAGGCTTAGTTAGGCAGGGAGGTGGTGTAATGGAGAGCATGTTGGCCTTAGTGGAAGTGAGAGCTGCAGGATTCAGATCCTGCTTCAGGAATTTCCTAGCTATGGGTCCCAGAGCAATTGACTTAACCTCTCTGGGCCTCATTTTCCTCATATATTAAATGACAACATTGGGATTAATTAATGGCATTCAAATTTCTTTGAGCTCTGAATCTACGGTCCTGTGATCTTTTAATACAATCAGTTTTTTTTCTCTCTTCATTTAGGTGGCAGATAAGAAAGCAGAGGGAAACATAAATTTTGTTTTGACAGAAGGATGAATTTCCTGATGATATTCAATGCTATATAATGGAAAGGAGGGAGACCATGAAACCACTGTCCCTGGACAATTTTACAGAATACATTCAAATCTGTTAGGCCTGATCAAGGGCATTGCTAGATAAAGGAAAAGGAATGGATTAGGATCTCTCAGAATCCCTTCAAGATTCACAATCCTAGGACTCCAGAGGCTATCAGCTGCAAAAGTGACTGAAACTTTTGGTCAAGTATTGAAGCCAACACCATGAAGACATACAAGATGCAGGAGAGTTCTTCAGCATTTATGCATTGATCACAAGGTGCTTAGTTTATCTAAGGTGTGTTCTTTGACCAATATAGAAAGTTAAAGGACAAGTCTAACTGACTGTGTGTGTGTGTGAATATGACAGAGACAGACAGAAAGACAGAGAATGAATATAAAATGATTGCCTCTTAATTTTCAGACAAAATCTGCATGCAAATTCATATATAATCTACCAACTAATATAGTAAAAGCTGAGCCTTTAGAATGGGATTTTTTCTTCCCAAACACAATTATATTCCTATAAATGTCTAAAAAAGAAATCCAAGTACAGAAAGAAAGACAAGTAGAGAGGCAGAGGACATAAAATAGAGAGACAGTGAGAAGGATAGAATGATAGACAGGCAATGAGACAGAGAGACAAATACAGAGAGAGTATACCAGTTGTGATCTGGGTACAAATTCACTATAAGGCATATGATAAAAAACGATATTCATATTAGAAAATGCATTTGCATTTTTTCATTTTGAAACAAAAATGAACCAAAACAGCAAAAGACTCCCTAAATTGCATTTTTTATAAAATGAATGCAACAGATAATTGTCCCCTTGAAAGAGACTCATAAAGAGCTATATTCATTCCAAAGGCTAATCAGTTGTCTTAAAAATGACTAGACACAAACTTATAATCCAGCTATAAAATGTTTGAGATGCCTTCTTAGAAGACAAAGCAAGCTGCAATTGAAATTCTTTCTGTGTCCTAAAGAACCAACAAATAAACCAAAACAACTGGTCTTTCATTTCACTTTTGCCGTAATTGACTGGAGCCATGGTTGATTTAACACCCCAAAAAGCAAGAATGGAGGAACATGCATATTGAAAGGGAAGCTAACATTGGCTCTCCATGGGCTAACATTATTTAACAGCTCTGTCAGGATGCTATTATATTGCCTACACATACTAATATATTCCTGCTTTGTTGAAAGGACAATTTAGTTTCTCGAAAATCCGCTTCGATTTAGCAGTTCCCTTGAATGATATTACCTCCCACAAACTGTGAGCTAACAAGGAGAAAACCCTTTGAGGACTCCAACCCTGTACCAAACAGAGCTCTGTCTAGTGTATATATTGAATCCTAAAAGAGTACAGTAAGGAGTTACATGAGGTTAGCCACTCTAAGGACCGCAATGCTCCCATTGCCTGGAAAACCTCTAAATAATTTCCACTCCATTTACCTGCCGCATTCCGGAGATGACATAATGAGGCAGAATGAGCTTCAGACAGGACCACACAGCCTATGCTTGTGACAAATTATACCTACCATTAAGAAGAAAAAGTCAGAAAAAAAAAGGATGTGCATGGTTGAAAAAGAAAGAAATGTTTTAATCATGAGCTGAGTTTCATCATTATCATCCATTGCTGAAATTAAAGGCATCAAGGGAGAAAAGGACCCAAGGAATGTTCTTGAAGTGGCAGTTTAAGGTACACCAGCACTTATGGGGTGATAGTCAATCTTATAATATTTAGTGTACAGTATAGGTACACAAAAAGATTCAGATATGTCTGCATGGTACAATATAAATTATAAAATGGAACTGATAAACTCCATAAGTGGAGGTTTGAGAAGCAGTACTGTCACTTGTTTCTAATCACATAGGATATTTACTTTCTCTAAAAGTAGACTGTCTTACCTCTCCCATTTTCTAACTCTTTGCTGAATGATTCATTCAGAAATCATACAATAGCTATGAAGAGCAAATTTGTCTCTAACCAATCACATGCAAATAAACCACTGACTGTGTCACCCTTTGCCCCATACACACTCAATAAACTTCAATGACTCTTCTTGACTTTTAATACAAAATGCTCTGTTTGGTATCCTTTTGAAACCTAGCCTCCTCCTATCTTTCCAGTCTTCTTATACCTCACACCCTTAAAAGTACTCCTCAATCCAGTGACACTGGCCTCCTGGCTCTTCCACAAACAAGACATTTCACCTCTCTCCTCTCCAGACACTTTCCCTAGCTATCTCCCATGCCTGTAATGCTCTCCCTTCTTGGTTCCCACTAACCTCCCTGGCTTCCTTTAAGTTTCAACTAAAATCCTATCTTCTATAGGAAGTCTTTCCCAACCCCTCTAAATTCCAGGCCTTTCCTCTGTTAATTATTTTCTATTTATCTGGTTCATAGCTTGCTTTGAATGTATGTGTTTGCATTACATTATAAGCTCCTTGAGGGCAGGGACTGTCTTTTGCCTCTTTGTATATCCCTAGTGCTGAGCACAATGCCTGGCACTTAGTAGGTGCTTAATAAAAATTTATGGATTGATTGCTTTTCAGCAACAAAAGAAACACCTAGGCAATGGAGGTAGAATATCCTATAAGGTTAAACACAAACACACACACACACACAAAACAGACACACAACCCACACAACACACACACATACTGTCTTGTCCATTCTGCTTAATTTCACTTTACCTAAATCATTAGTTTAAGAGAAACAATGAGATGGAAAACCACAGAGGGAGTTATAAATGAAATACAATTACATTTTAATTAACAAGCTGAAATTAGCTAAGTGATCTGTTGTCCAAACAGTTAAAGCAGCCTTGAGTTCATTTCCTTTTTCCAGTGACCCCACCAAAGACCCAACCTGTGTTATTACCCTTCTCCAACATACATACTGGGAATCTGTTGGATCCTGTGGACAACTACAAATGCATCAGACAATCCCACTTTCACCGGATGGTTGGTTGTACTTATCTGGGTCACCAACACAGGAATCTGGAGGGCAAATGGAAAAAGAAGAGCAGATTAATATGCATTAGTCTTGAAAAATCTCTAAAGTGAGAAAAAAATTAAAACAAGACAAGAAAATAACCAAGCGTGATCCTTGATGATTGTGTGTTCGTAATCGAGGGGAAATAAGGAGTGGTGAAGACTAAAGATACAGGGATAAGAATAGGGACAGAAATTGTGATTTCACTGGTATTTGAACTCCCAGTGAACAATTACCTCAGACACTGCAAGTTGACACCATTTCTGAAACATCATCTTAGAGAGGTGCTTACAGCAATTACAGGCCAAGCAACTTGCTCTGGACCACACTATATGTCAGAGGTAAGGTTTGAACAAAGGTGTTGCTGGCTCCTAGGCCAACTCTGCATCCAACTTTGCTAAAATTAATTTAAATTATATCTTATGTGAAAAAACCAAGATATAAATGTGACATATACTATGTCATATATGACATATGATATATATATATACAAATAATACATGTGTATTTACACATACACGCACACATAGGACAAAAGATACTGCATTACAAATTCTGTAATTGAACATCAAAGTCTTCATAAGAGTCTTTCAGTTGTGGTTTGTTTGAAATATTGAGAAGCAACCTGTTTTAATGGGAAGAGCACCAGGTAAGTCATAAGAGGATCTACCTCAGACACTCACTAGCAACATGACCTTGGATAAGTCACTTAATCTCTGATTCCCAGTTTCCTCATCCGTAAAATTCTTTTGACATTTCTATCCTCTGACCCATAGAGCTGCTGTGTGCAAAACACATTGAAACCCTAAAGCAAAATGCAAATAGAAGCATTATCATGAGCGAAATGAAAGCATAAAAGCAGTCTCTTGACCTGTGGATTGTTGGCATTTATAGAGATGGTATTTTAAGGTTCACCAAGTGTTTTACACACATTATTTTATTTGCAAACGATGGATGTTTGATAATAAAGAGTCCTCAGAAGACTATAAAAGTGAATCAGCAAGGACCAGGACTGTCAAACTTTTGTTGTTCAGTTGACAAATAGTAACACATACATGTAGGGACCCAATAACTATATTTGCTGATGCTAAGTAATTAAAACATATTAAACAATCCTTTTTTTTCTGTCTCTGGAATCCGAACAAAATCATATTCTAATTCAAATGAGATAATACCAAGGAAATATGTAGAAACCATTTTGTTAATCGGAAAGTGCTATATGATATGATAGTATTACCAACTTTTTGGGGAAAAGGGGGCAATTTCTAGGCCTTTGAGTTCACTAATGTAGGGAATTCATAGTAGTAAACTCACTCTACCAATGCAAACCAGCACATTTTAAATTTTTTAAACTATCTATCTTTTTTGTAGGTTATAGTCTTAGAGAGTTACCCAAAATCATTGAGAGATTCACTGACTTAGCTGTGGTCACACAGCTGGTATGTGCCAGGAGCAGAATTTGCACCCAAGTCTTTTTGATTTTAAGGCTGCCCCTTAATTCACTCTACATTGTTATCTTTCATTGATTTACTGTGTTATAATGAATGATGCATTGAAGGTCTCTTTGCCTCTACATTAAATGACCCTAGACTGCTATTCCTTGCCACGTCTTATGCTTGCATTTTATGGTTTTTCTGGTTCTTCTGTTGTCACTGTCAGCTGTCAGTTTATCAGGAAAACTCAGTTATCTTAATTTCATGTTATGTGTTCCTTCTTCTTATCCCATGCTATCTTTCATAATTGCTTGTAAAATGAGGGAGTTGAATTAAATGTCTTTTTAATGTCCCTTCACTTCTAAATCTGTGATCCTGTATCATCATCATTATTTTTTCTTCTTATGATCGTGATTGTAGGAAAAAAAACCAAAACTCTTAAGAATGACAAATAATGCTACTAGGGAACAAACATTTGTCAAGTGGCCTGAAACAACCCCAAAGACATTCTATTTTTATTTAGTTAGATTTAATAACTTACAAGTGGCAGCATTTCCCAGAATACATTGCAACACTGAAAGTCAAGCCTACATGTTGAACTTTAAAATTCTTGACTAAAACTCCCACTCAACACCATGAAGATAGTCCTCCCAAGGGTATATTTTGTTATCTATTTTCAATTCTGATTGAAAACAAAACTCTCATATCCTAGAGCATCTAACTTTTTTTTGAAAAATACTTTGGAAAACAGAAATATCTGAACAAGGAATACACTTATTATATAGGAAAGACATAGAAAGATTAACCCCTGAAACCAAACTGACTCAGTTTGGCAAAGACTCAGAGGGAGGCATAATTACTCCAATACAAATAAAAGTAGGGATTAGTCTTTCTCCAAGAGATAAAAGGACAAAAAAACCTTTCAGTTGTGAGGAGAAATGTCTATTGGAAAGGTAATCAGATTGTGGGAGAGAGGATTCACAGCAACTGTATTAAAGAACACTGTCTTTACTTTCCCTCGGCTTTTCCATTCAATTATATGGAAGGAGTATTTCATTAATATTGATAAACAAGGGGAAATCAAACCATGCTTCAAGCATTATTATTCAACAAGCAAAGATGAACCTGAAAGTTCTCCTACAGGTATTGTCTTCCTTTTAAAAATGTATTTTAAATTGGATTGCCATTTTCTTCAAAAAACACAGTCAAGTTGACAAGCATTTATTAAGTGCATAGTATGTGAAAGTGCTGGAGATACAAAGAGAGGCAAAAACCATCCTTGCCCTCAGGAAGTTCACATTTTAATGGTGGAGATAACATGTAAATAATTAGAGAAACAAAATGGGGGGCGGAGCCAAGATGGCAGAGTAAAAGCTGTGATTTGCTTGAGCTCTCCCCCAAACCCCTCCATATACCTGTAAAAAAACAACTGTAAACAAATTCCAGAGCAGCAGAACCCACAAAAAGACAGAGTGAAACAAATTTCCAGCCCAAGACAACCTGGATGGTTGATTGGAAAGGTATATTGCGCCAGGCTGGGAGAGGAATGCAGTTTGGTGTGGGCACGCAGGCCTCAGCAAACCTGGAGCAGGCCTCAGAGGACTGAGGTAGGGGAAAAACAGAGTGATGCAAGAAAATCATGAAAAACAAGTCAACAGCTTGCTAAGGAGACCCCCAAAATACTGAAGAAAACAATACCTTAAAAAATAGCCTAACCCAAATGGCAAAAGAGGTCCAAAAAGCCAATGAGGAGAAGAATGCCCTAAAAAGCAAAATGGGACAAATGGAAAAGGAAGTCCAAAAATTTACTGAAGAAAATACTTCCTTAAAAATTAGAATAGAGCAACTGGAAGCTAGTGACTTTATGAGAAATCAAGACACTGTAAAACTAATTCAAAAGAATGAAAAAGTAGAAAACAATGTGAAATATCTCCTTGGAAAAACAACTGACCTGGAAAATAGATCCAGGAGAGAGAATTTAAAAATTATTGGACTATCTGAAAGCCACGACCAAAAAAAGAGCCTAGACATCATCTTTCAAGAAATGATCAAGGAAAACTGCCCTGATATTTTAGAACCAGAGGGCAAAATAGAAATGGAAAGAATCCACTGATCACCTCCTGAAAGAGATCCCCAAAGGAAAACTCTTAGGAATATTGTAGCCAAATTCCAGAGTTCCCAGGTCAAGGAGAAAATATTACAAGCAGCCAGAAAGAAACAATTCAAGTATTGTGAAAACACAATCAGGATAACACAAGATTTAACAGCTTCTACATTAAGGGACCGCAGGACATGGAATATAATATTCCAGAGGGCAAAGGAGATAGGATTATAACCAAGAATCACCTACCCAGAAAAATTGAGCATAATCCTTTAGGGGACAAAATGGATATTCAGTGAAATAAAGGACTTTCGAGCATTCTTGATGAAAATACAAGAGTTGAATGGAAAATTTGACTTTCAAATAGGAGGCTTAAGTAAAACATGAAGAGGTAAACAGGAAAGAGAAATCATAAGACAATTATTAAGGTTGAACTGTTTACATTCCTGCATGGAAAGATGATATTTGTAACTTATGGGAGTCCTTTGTCAGTATTAGAGTAGTTGAAGGTAAAAAAATTATATGTATGTAGATACATATAGATATAGATATAGATACAGATATAGAGATAGATAAATAGAGGGTACAGGGTGAGTTGAAGATGAAGGGGTGATATCTGGAGAATAAAATTAAGGGGTGAGAGAAGACTATACTAGGAGAAGGAGAAAGGGAGAGGTAGAATGGGGTAAATTATCTCACATAAAACAGACAAGAAAAGGCTTTCATAGTGGAGGGGAAATGGGGGAAGGTGAGAAGGAATGAGTGAATTTTATTCTCATTGGATTTGGCTTAAGAAGGGAATACCATACACACTCAATTGGGTATTGAAATATATTTTATCCTACAGAAAGTGAACAAGAGAGCAGAAGGATGATAGAGAAGAGGGCAGGTTGGGGGAGGGGGTAGTCAGAAGCAAACACTTCTAAGGAGGGACAGGGTCAAAAGAGAGAATAGAATAAATGGGGGGTGGGATAGGATTAAGGGAAATATACTTAGTTTTTCACAACATGACTACTATGGAAGTATTTTGCATGAGTATTATTTTTAATTTAAAAAAATTAAAATAAAATGAGAAACAAAATACTTACAAAGCATTTATTAAGTATCTAGTATTTGTCAGGTACTGTGCTAAGTACTTGGCATACAAATATAGCCAAATGACACAGCCTTGCCCTCAAAGAACTGAGAAAGTTAAATTGATTCCATATTATTTTTAATTGATTCTATTAACAGTCAATTGATTTTGTCCTGTAAGTGCCTAAGTCATGGTTCTTTGTCTCTGAATTTAGTTCAGAATTCAGCTCGCCTGTATTGAGTTAATTTTAGATATCCAGTGCTCCTGCTAATCACTGTTCTATTCTTGCCTCAAGGAAATCTGCTGTCATTTGGGGATGCAGATGGATGTCAGGGAGTCTGGTCTAATATCTTTACACCACCAAGCTATCCTTCCAGGATGTCTGGTTTGCTATCC